CGCTGTGTTCCTGTTGCTTCATGTGGTAATGTGTAGATTTTAGTGCTGTCAGTGTTAATCTCATTAAAATGACATTAATGCCATAACTGCATTAACGTGGAAAATCTCCATTAACGAGTTACCGCAGATCGCCCCGCTGGATGGTGCTAACGCATTAACGAGCTAACTGTGCTAACGCTTTGACGCTGTTCAGCCCCACTCACGGGCGATCCGCGGTAACTCGTTATCAGAGATTTTCCGCGTTAATGCAGTTATGGCGTTCATTCATCATTTTAACAAGATTATCGCTGACAGCAGTAGTAGATTTGATCTCAGATGGTGTTGATATATAAGTTTAAAATGATGATGATCTCAGGCAGGATGTCCCAGATGATGAGCTGTTGGAAAGTATCTTCTCTGAGGCATCAAAGGACTGTGGACCCTGCAGTCCCCCACCATGGGCGCTCTCTGGACAGGTCAGCCTCCCAAGACGCGCCCCAGGTCCCTCAAACCGAGCTCTAACTGTTTACCTGCTCACTCAGCTTATGTTTGAGGGCAAAACCAAGGATGTCATCTTGCTCATGGGTAACAATCCGCAATTATTAGAAAGCATAAAAGCTAAAAACATATCAAAAGAAATATCAAGACTGTGGTCTAGGAATCCATCCATCATCAAATCCACAAAATCTCCAATATCTTGGTATCTTACAGGTTCAACACTGGAGGAAATGTGCCAGCTCATGGCCAGCTACCAGAACATCATCCCCGTAAGGTCATCAGGAGGTCATCTGTCTCTGCTCGACCTATCTGCACCTTTTCTGTTCAGAGGCAGGAAGAGATACTACGGGTCAGAGATAAATCTCACACACTGATAGAGCGCTGGTAGAGCTAAGCAGGAGCTTGATCAGTCATAACGATTCCATCAGTATTGACAGCCACTGATTATTATTTATACTTTAAATGTTTTTCAAAATTATATATTAAATGGTTATACACACATGCAATTTAAAGATTGTAACGAAGACAAATAACAAATAAATAAAACACACCCTTTATAATGACTCAAATACAAGCGAGCGTAGTCATTTTAAAGAGTGTGTTCGAATTTTCTTGACCCCGCCCACTTAAATGATGGATATTGAGAGGCTGTCACAGGCTGTCATTTTTATTTCTTTATTTTTATATAATTAAATATTTTAAGATAATTCTTAGGAGTAACTCATTCATAACAAAAATACAGAACAGATGATGCTTTTATTAATCCATTATGTTACCACAAGATGAATTTTCACAGTGAGATAGTATGTTTGGTTTTGTGTGTCTGCTGTTGTTGCCTTGTCATTTTTCTTATTCATAAGAACAGGTTACTGTCCTTAAACAGGCAGTTCAGAAGCTTTTATATAAAAATGTTTTTTGACCTTCAAATTCTGATTCAAACAGTCGTGTTAGTTCTTGAACATGTCGTCATTGTAGTGTGTGTGTGTGTGTGTGTGTGTGTGTGTGTGTGTGTGTGTTCCAGCTGTAAGCGGTGTTCCAAGGCTGCAGTGAGGGAGCAGGGTTGGGAAGGAGTTGAGATGATAGATGAGAAAATTATCGCTGAAGGTGAGACAGAGATTGGTTTGAATCATCA